GCGGCAACAAAAGTGGAGACTGTCTTTGTCTTGTTCAAAAAAAAAAAAAGAAAAAGAAAAAAAGACTTAAGAGTGGTAGGTTTTCCTTTGTTGGCGGTTGTTTGCGACTTGGGTTTAGAGCCTGGTTAGTCCTTCTTCTTTGTTTGCCTATTTCTGCCCTTTCTGTGGAATGAGGAATGTGCTACCCTCATGCCTGGTCCCCACTATTGGTATTTTGAAAGCTAGGCCGGGCGGAGGTGGCTCGACGCCTGTAGGATGCCTAGCACTGCTGGGAGCTTGAGCGGGGGAGGACGGGTTGCTCCGGGAGCGTCAGGAGTTCGAACCAGCCCCTGAACAAGAGCCAGGAACCCCGTCTCTACTATAAACACAAAGAAATGTAATTGGGCCAACTTAACTCACGGTATACAGAAGAAAATTAAGCCAGACATGTTGGGGTGGGCGCCGATGCCTGTAGTCCCAGCTACTCTGGAGCTGAGGCAGGAGGATGCTTGAGCCCAGGGAGTTTGAGGTTGCTGTGCAGCTAGGTGACGTCCACAGACACCACTCTAGCCTGGGCGGCAATACCGGTAAGGATCTGTCTCGAAGAACGGCAAGTAGATGACTTTAAGTTTTCAGGCTCAAGGAGGGGGAGGGGCTGACCCTCGGCAGTCTCACCCATATTCTGACGTGCAGATGCCTGACTCTGGGACTTGAAACTCGGGAGTGGGGCGCTTGCGAAATGAGTTTGAAGACTTAGGGTCATGCGACATGCAAGGAATGTATCTGTGTGGTAAGAAGCGACATGAGCTTTTGGGGCTCCGCGGGCGTTGGAATGGCTATGGTTTGACTGTCTCTCCTCTTTTCGAAATATTTATGGTTGGAAATGTTAGATCCCAATGTATTACGCGGCACGGGTGTGGCCTTGTAAGAGCGTGACTGGGTCGATGATCCGCTCTCCCCTCACGAAGATCGGAGCGATTCCATTCGTGCGACGTAATGGGTGTTATCACAGACTGTTACAAAAAGCCAGGACGGTTTCTCTCAGGTTGACCCTGTCACTCTGGTGACGCCGTTCTGGTCCACGTGATGACGCGAGCACGAGGCTCATCACTGAAATCCAAGCAGATTGCAGGCCACCAGCCCTCCCTGGGGCCCCACCCAGCTCGAGAACTGTAAGACAAAACTGCTTTCTCGTTTGTATTAAACATTACCAGTCTGCAGGTGTCAAGGTTAAGCAACAGCTAAAAGGACTGATTTATCCTACGCACTCTGGGCAGGCCGAGGGGCAGGAGGATCGCGCCTCATCGTCAGGAGTTCACAGAACCAGCCTGGAGCAAAGACGCGAGACCCCCGCTCTGTTTTTTTCTACTATGAATAGAAAGAAGAGCTTAATTTGGCCCAAGACTAATATATATAAAGGAAAAAGACTAGGCCAGCATCGGTGATGCATGCCTGGCCTAGTCCCAGCCTACTCCGGGAGGCTGAGGCAGGAGCATCGCCTGAGCCCGGAGAGTCTGGGGAGGTTGCTGTGAGGCGTTGTAGGGCTGACGCCACGGCACTCACTCGTAGCCGCTGGGCAAACAGGAGGTGGAGACTCTTGGCCTCAAAAATAAATAAATAAATAAATAAATATTAGCAAAAAAAATTATCCAGACTGGGCTGGCCACATGCCTGTTCAGGGTCCCCCCACGGCTACTCGGAGGGACTGAGGCAGGGGGATGGGCGCTGAACCGCAGGAGCCATGAAGTTGCTGCTGAGCTTGGCTGATGCCACGGCCACTCTAGCCTGCGGCCAACAGGGAGTGAGACTCCTGTTGTCCCTCAAAAAAAAAAAAAGAAAGAAAAAGGCAAAAAGGAAAAGAGGGGACGGGCGATGGAGACCCAGGTAACTGCTGCTTGTCTTAGACGTGTTGTTCCCAAGGTGATTATGAATCACCTCCCGCAGGCCCCAGATAGACGGATTCTGCTACTCATTCAGCCCCAGGGGCGGAAGCTCACGCGAGGGTCCCAGCTGCGTTCCCCTGCCTGGGCTTGGGGTGCTGCGCCGGGGGTGCAGGGCCAGAAGATCCCAACCTGACTAACTAAGGTCGCCGGGAAGTGCTTAGGCCTGCAGTTCCTCCTGCCGGCAGGCCCGCCTCGGGGCGCCTACTGCCTGAGCCCAGCCAGGATGCCACAAAGAGGAGCATCACAGGCCCCAGCTGGCTGCCGGGGCTTGGGCCTCGCTCCGTCGATGCACTTGGGAGAGGTGGGGACACCAAGAAGGGACCTAGCTGTCAAAAGTGCAGAGACAACTGGCCGCATTGTTTCCACCTGCCTCCATAAAGATCCAGTAGGGGATGAACTCCCCGACAGGAGCCATCCCGGATGTGTTTCTTATCTGGTAGACGTGTATTTTCCTAGAGGGCAAGTACAGCATGTCTTTGATAAGCTGTCTCTCTTTTTTTTTTTTTTTGAGACAGAGAGTCTCACTCACTCTGCTTGGGCCCCCAGGCTAGAGTGGGGAGTGGCGCCGTGGCGTCAGCCTAGCTCACCAGCAACCTCAAACTTCCTGGGCTCAAGCAATTCCCCCCCCCCCCCCCCCGCGCCCCCCCCCCCCTAGCCAATCCTCCTGCCCTCAGCCTCCCGGAGTAGCTGGGACTACAGGCCATGCACCACCATGGCCCGGCTATTTTTTTTTTATTTGTTTCTCCTGATTATATTTTAGTTGGTCAATCTACTTTCTTTCTATTTATAGGTAGCAGACGGGGTCTCGCTCTGCTCAGGCGTGGGTTTTCGAACTCCTGGACCTGTGAGCAATTCTGCCCGCCGCTCGGCTCCCAGAGTGCTAGATGACAGGCATGAGCCACCACGCCCGGCCAGATAAGCGTCTCTTGCACGCCCGCCCGGAACATCCATCGGGGTGGTGTTCCCAGGTGGGTAACGCTTCAGGGACAATCGCACAGAGGCGCAAGCTGTGGCAAAGCGTGCTCGTTATATACGCGAGGGCCACTGTTCATTTCCATCGATCGCCCGGCCAGATAAGCTGTCTCTTGCACCGCGAACATCATGGGTGTGTTCCAGGTGGTAACGCTTCAGGGACAATCGCACAGAGGCGCAAGCTTGTGAAAGCTGCCGTACACGCAGCCACTGTCATTTCCAACACCCTCGCCACTAACCACAGTACCTGGCGGGGCCAAACCACCTTTCCTGGGGTTCTGGGGCCCCTCCCAGGGGAAAGTTGGTACCACTGAGAGTTCTCCCTCCCCGCCCCTGCTCCAGCTCTCCGCACTCCGAGCTGCTCCATAGAGGGTGGGGCACAGTAGCCAGCATCCCCTCTCCCCAGAATCCCCCCCTGGGGGCAGGGCGACACAGTCCCCTCCCCAGGGAGAGCCTGGCCACTCACCGCCCGCGCGCTTGTCTTCCGGGCTGCTTCGCAGGTGGTTGTGGCTGGCTTCCGTGGGGGGCTCTTCGCTGGGAGGGCTGGTGACCCCGGGGATGGTGGGCAGATCCCTCGGGGGCGTTTTGGTCACAGGTGAGTTCCGACACTCCATCAGGAATTTCCGGTCATAGATGATCCTGGTACCTGGAAGGGCAACAGGGAGGTTGGTAAAGGCCCCTTGAACCCCCTGCCTGCGGGCTTTCCCGTTTCTCTGAGGTGTGGCTGCAGCAGAGGCTGCAGGTTCTCCGGTAAAAGGCAGACCAATAATCCTGGCACTCTGGGAGGCCGAGGCGGGCGGACCGCTCAAGGTCAGGAGTTCAAAACCAGCCTGAGGGGCGGGCGTGGTGGCTCACGCCTGTAATCTAGCCTTTGGGAGGGCCAGGCCGGGCCGGATTGCTCAAGGTCAGGAGTCTCGAAACCACTGGCGAGACGTTACAAAGAATTCTATGCCAACTAAAACAATATATACACAAAAATTCCCAGGCATTGCGCTTGCTCGTCCTCACGGGCAGCGCTGACGCAGGAGGTCCTTGGCCCCGATTGCGGTTCGTGACCAGCCTGACACACGCCCACTCTGCCTGCAACAAGCGACGTAAACAAAAACAAACACCCCTCAACGACGCTAACACTAATAGGAATGAACCGACCAATAACTTAGCAATCCGGCCTGGTGGCGCATCTCGCAGCCCAGCTCTTGGGAGGCTGAGGCAAGGAGGCATCGCTTGAGCCAGCGTTTGGAGGTTGCTGTGAGCTACGGCTGATGCCACAGGCCTCAACTCTAGCCCTGGCAACCAAAGTGAGGCTCTGTCTCAAATAAAAAGGGCAGGCCAAGGAGGGGTGAGGTTCACTCAGGGCTGGGTGCAGTCCAGGACCCTGCTGCTTCCAAACCACCGACTCCCCTTCACAGGGGGTGCTCTGACGGATGGGGCCGTGGGCCACCGGACTGCACCAGCGTCTTCTCAGAGCCCCATACACCCTGAGCTTTGTCCTTAAAGCCCCTCACAGCTCACCCATGACTGCTTGGTGTGAATTGCCCACAATAACCACATCCCACAGTGCAGAGAATGCATTTCTATTCATCATACAGCCCCGTCCTTACAGCAATCCTGTAGGATACCCAGAATAGCTTCTTGTTTTCTTTTTTATTAATATTAATAATTATTTTATCAATAATTTAGAGAAAGGGTTTTGCTCTGTCACCCAGGCTGGAGTGCAGTGGTGCGGTCCTGGCTCACTGCAGCCTAGAACTCCTGGGCTCAAGTGATCCTCCTTCCTCAGCCTCCCGGGGAGCTGGGACTACAGGCACGTGCCACTGTGCCCAGCTTAATTTTTTGTCTTATTTCTTCTGTAATGACGACAGGGTCATGCTATGTTGCTCAGGCTGGCCTTGGCCTCAAGCAATCCTCCTGCCTCAGCCTCCAAATCCCCTGCGGATTCAGGCCTTGGACGTCGGGGCGCCCCCAGTCCCAGAATTGGTATCTTTAACCCCATTTTACAAATGAGCAAACTGAAAATAAGTGATTCACCGGAACTAGTAAAAATGTGAGCTTTGGCCAGGGCGAGGTCGGCTCACGCCTGGTATCCCTATGCCTGCTGGGAGGCCGAGGCCGGCCGGATGCCTCGGAGGCCCCCGGAGTTTCGAAACCAGCCTGAGCCAAGCGAGACCCCGTCCTCTACCTACAATAGAAAGAGAATTAATTCGGCACACTATATACTAGAGGAAAAATTAGCCGGCGGCCATCGGTGGCGCATGCCCTGTAGTCCCAGCCCACTTGGGAGGCTGAGGCAGGAGTATCTGGCTTCAGCCCCAGGAGTTTTGAGGTCTCGCTGTGAGCCGAGGCTGATGCCGGCAGCTCACTCTAGCCCTGGGCAACAAAGTGAGACTCTGTTCAAAAAAAAAAAAAAAAAAATGAGAGCTTTCCTGCCTGGGCTTTGTGGAAAGGAGTGAGGGGGAGACGGGTGGGCTCTGCCTGCCCCACAAAAGGCTCCCCACTGAGTCCAGGCCCCCCAGCAGGCCTGTGCCAATGAGTCACAGTGCCCTGCATTCTAGCCCTGCTCCTGTCACTCCTTTGGCAAATGTCCGCACTGCCTAGGGTGAGGACCTGTCTTACGGAATGATTCTCTACCCTAAAACCCAACCACAAGACCACCGCTGTGAGACACCGGGAACCCTTGTGGCAGAGCCACTTGATCTATCAAACGACAGGAAACAGCGAGGAGGTTATTCTTGTTCAGTCCTTATTTAATCCCAGGAGGGCCCGGGTCAAACCTAACATCTCTACGGCGCCTGCCCGGAGCTCTCTTTTCAGCAGGGTAGGCCTCGGGCTGGAGCCCTTTGGCAGACAGTGGAATCCAGGGAGCGCTGGCTGTTGTCATTGCATTTCTTTTTATAGCTACTTTCTATTTATGGCAAGTGACTCTGGTTTTCCATATATAGTAGTGATATTGTTTCCTCTTAATACATAATGATATATTGCCTATGTAATATACTATTTGTTCAGCATAATAATATAAATTTAAAAGGTGATACAAAGAAATACTAAATATCTGTACAGCAGAATGCAAGCGTGGTAATAATTTGCAGACGGACCATGGGTTTTTTAATTACTATTTTTTTATTATTTTTATTTTTTGAGACAGAGTCTCACTTTGTGGCCCAGGCTAGAGTGAGTGCCGTGGCGTCAGCCCTAGCCTCAAGCAACCGAACAAATCTCCTGGGCTCAAGCGATCCTCCTGCCTCAGCCTCCCGAGTAGCTGGACTGCAGGCATGCGCCCCACCATGCCGGCTTAATTTTTTGTATGTGTATTTTTAGTTGGCCAATTAATTTATTTGTGTTTATAGTAGAGACGGGGTCTCGCTCAGGCTGGTTCTGAACTCCTGACCTCGAGCAACCCACCTGCCTCAGCCTCCCAGAGTGCTGGGATTACAGGCGTGAGCCACCGCGCCCGGCCCGGACCACGGTTTAAGGGCTCCAGGAACACCCTTCCTCACCAACAGCCCTGGAGTCGTGCCCTCACTAGAGGGCTATAACGAGTGACATTAGAACAGCTGAGAGTTTTTTTTTTTTTTTTTTTAATTTTTAAGGATGCATAATCGTTGCACACATTGAGATTCCTTTCTTGATGGTCAGCACTGGACTCCGTAAGGCCCCGGAGAGGAATCCATTTCCATCCTGAGACCTGAGTGTGAGTTAACGAAAGGGCCTCCTTGCGCTGCGGCAGGCCCGGGATGCAGAACAGGGAGTAGACCGGAGAGACACACCTAAGCCGACTCTGGGCTGGCTCTGGCCCCTCTAGGCAGGCACGGGTCTCGCTCCTCTGTCCCCTTGCCCACGAGGCGGTGGTGCTGAAGCTGACAGCCCTGCACAGCACCCAGCGAGCTGCAGTTCACAGCTCAGATTCTTAGGGGCCGGGGCGTTAAGGGGCCAGGCTGCACTTTGGGCTGTGTGCACAAGGACTTGGGTTACCTGTATGATCGATTCGGTGCCGAGGATCGCACTCGTGGTGGACGCACACACACACACCTGGCTTTCGGCCTCAGCCTCCTCTTCTGTGATATGCAGAGCTGTGCACCTTCAGGCCTGAGGGCCTAGGGGCCCGCCCGGTAGATCAGAACAGCGGCCCCTCTCTTCTCAGGGTAGGGGATGGGGTAGGAAGAGAAAAAAAAATTCCAACTATCTTCTCTTTTTAAAGTGACCCAGATTTATTTTGGTTTTGGAAGCCAGAAGGGGCATCCACTCTGTAGGGGTTAGGGCTGTACAACCTTCCCCCATCCAAAGCAGGAAATGCGGTGACCTCAGGGCCCAGGCAGTTGGGGTGGGTGGAGGCTCAGGGCACGGGTGGTGGCATGTCCTGGCTCTGGAGAGGGGACTACTTTTCTCTGCTGTTTCTTAATCTTCAAAACTAGAGGGCTAGGCGAGGCGGCTCACACCTATAATCCCAGCACTTTGGGAGGCCAAGGAGGGAGGATCACTTAAGCCCAGGAGTTTGAGGTTGCAGGTTGCAATGAGCTATGATGTCACCACTGCACTCTAGCCCCGGGCGACAGAGGGAGACACTGTCTCAAAAAACAAAAACAAAAAACCTCAGCAAGAATCTCCCCTCTTCTTCTTCCCCCCTGACTCGATTAGCTCACCACAGAGTAGGGAACTGATCCTGTTCAAGTGAAAACTAAGAGTTGGAGACTCGGCAGTTTTGAAACGGAGCCTGGGCGCTTCCCTCCTTGTGGCCACCGCCTAAGAGGCAGCAGCCAAAATGAAGCGCCATCCCTCTGTGACTTCTGTCCGAAGCAAGAACCGCAAACGGCATTTCAGCGCACCTCCCCACACTCAGGAAGACTGTCTTCCTCTCCTTCCAAAGGGCTGAGAGACAAGAACAACGTTTGATCCAAGCCCGTCCGAAAGGATGATGAATTTCAGGCCGTACAAGGACAGTATAAAGGTCAGCAGATTGGCGAAGCCGTCCAGGTTTACAGGAAGAAAAGTACATCATCTTGTCTACGGCCATGTCACCCTGAACATGCCCGATCTTATCTGATCCCGGAAGGAATATGTCATCTGCACTGGACGGTGCACAGGAAAAGGCTAATGGCACAACCGTCCCTGTGGGCAACCACCCGCCAAGGCCGTCATCGCTGGGCTGAAACCGGACAAAGCCTGCAAAAAGATCCCTGAACAGAAAGCCAAATCTCACCAAGTGGGAAAGAGGAAAAAGGCGAATACAAGGAAGAAACAACCGAGAAGATGCAGGAACATAAAGTATTCTTATATGTTATACAACTCTCATTAAAAACTGCCAAAAAAGGCCGGGCGTGGCGGCTCACGCCTGTAATCCCAGCACTCTGGGAGGCCGAGGTGGGCGGATCGCTCAAGGTCAGGAGTTCGAAACCAGCCTGAGCGAGACCCCGTCTCTACCAAAAATAGAAAGAAATTAATTGACCAGCTAAAAATATATATACAAAAAAAATTAGCCGGGCATGGTGGCCCGTAGTCCCAGCTACTCAGGAAGCTGAGGCAGGAGGATCGCTTGAGTTCGAGGTTGCTGTGAGCTAGGCTGACGCCACGGCACTCACTCTAGCCTGGGCAACAGAGTGAGACTCTGTCTCAAAAAAAAAAAGACAAAAAAAACCCTGCCAAACTGGGGGG